CCATGAATATTCTCCTCATGTGTTCTCAACACTCATGATCGAAGTATGTGTGGGGATAAACACGATCGAATGGACGGAGGGAAGATTGATGGAAGCTTGTTTGTGTTTGGCACGCGGACCGGAACGTAGGATGTAGACAAAGCGTTGCTCAGGATGTAGAAGGACAAGATATATCCCACCTTAATTTCGATAAAAACCAGAACATAACGCAGTTGGAAGGTGCTGCCTGAGCACCTTTGGCGGGTACAGTACTGTGAGAAAAGACCAAGGCAGGTAGTTGTCAGGAAGGTGCGATCGGGGTGTTGTCTTCTCTTTCTATTCCTATAGGCTTTTTGTTGCCTCCCATGAGTCTCGCGTCCAGGAAAATTCGGCTGTCCAAACTAGGTAGGTAACAATGACGAGCAAAGGATGGAGTGACCAGCCAAAGACCAACCGGACGCACAACTTGCCCGAACATTCAATTTCAGGCCTTTGACGACATAAGCGCAACCTGTGGGCATCTCGCACTGACTCTCGTGAGGTCATCGTCACAATAGAGCATGGGCATACCTTACCATGAGATGTCGTGGTGCTTCTCTGTACCCAAAGCTTCACCGATCCTCCTCTCGGTGACGACGGCGGGGTGTCATCAGTCATCCTCGCACGTGCGGTGAAAGACCGCCCGTGCCGAAGTCAAACGTGAGTCACTTACACCCAGAGCCAAATAGCTGGCCAATTCGGGCGTACTTTGTATCGCAGCAAACCATTAATTGAACAACGATTTTCTGCGCGTACCTCCATCACCATGTCAAGAACCAACATTAGTTCCGGGTCCAAGTTCGAGGCCGAGATTGCCTACTCGCGAGCAGTTGTGACGGGTGACTGGATCCTCGTCTCCGGCACCACTGGGTAATTGGATCTGCCTCGTCCCGTACATGCTCGAGCCTAGGGCTGACCTCTCAGTTACAACTACGATACGGGCGTCATTTCGAGCGATGTTGCCGAGCAGACAGCGCAAACACTGCGCACATTGCGTCGGCACTGGCCCAGGCCGGGAGCGTCCATGGCCGACGTTGTCCGCGTCCAGTATACCCTGCCAGACCGCGACGACTTCCCCAAGACGTGGCCCGTGCTGCGTGAGTGGTTTGGCGAGGTGAGGCCTGCGGCAACGATGGTGCAGGCCGGCCTCATGAAGGACGAGATGAAGATTGAGATTGAGGTCACGGCGAGGCGAACTGGGACGAGTGTTTTGCCGGAGCGTAGGAATGTGCCAGACTTTGTGTGAAGGCCGAGCCCAGCAAGATAACTGCTGGAATAGTCCAGTCCTCGACGTAAGCATTCAGGCAGGCTATCGAATACTAAACGTTCTGCGGTTCTTGGTGTGACTTCAAGCGCTTACGACACGGCACATCTGAGACGTGTCGACGGGTGGGTGCAGATGATGGACAAGCCCGTCATTGAGTCGCCGAACTTTACTCCACACAGGAACTGGAAAAAAAAAAGTACGTTTGCGACTGCTACAGTATGCAAAGATCAGGTCTATAAAAATGAATAGTATCGCTCAGTCGCCACATCAAGTAATCCTTCATGAAACACGATTAAATGAAAAGAGGCATGAACAGGGCACCGGCGCCAAACATGGACGCTATCGTGACGAAGCTCGAGGTCGAGAACATGGACATGCCGCTGATGCCGTGGCCAGAAGTGCACCCGCCGGCCAGCCTCGAGCCAACGCGAGGCAGACGCCACCAGCAACGGCGAGCAGAGGGTCCACGGTGATATCGCTGACGCCAGCCTTGAAGGCGGGATCCCAGCTCGTCAGCAGACGCGCCCCGGCACCGACGCCGGCGGCGAAGAGGATGTTCTTGGCGCCGGGGCGAGG